TTACTTATGTAGATACTAAATACGATTCGACTCTATATTGTTTTCAATGTCTTCACCGTATTCCTTCGTTTGCTACCCGATTTCGTTTCGTTGTCGAATGATTCGGTTTTGTCGGCTTACCTCGCCCGGCCACAATATACACACGTTTTACAGAGATATTTTCAATAAACGAAAAAGCTTAACACTCATACGGTTGTTGTCCTTGCCATCACTTGACCCTGTTGCATTCACGGAATTTTCATTGCTCCCGTAAATTGTACAGCCGCCCCGCGAGAAACGAAAATACCAACCCGTGGCCGCTGATTACGACAGCACGGTACTGACACTATAAAGTCGCGTCAAATTCAATTGACCGCTGAAGGTTACTCCCCTCTACGTGACCACATCAGATCCTCGCCCCCACTTTTCACCCGCAAGTGCCAAAAATGTTAGGCTAGGTCCAAAATATGCGATAACCGGTTGCATCACGTGATTCGAGTATTTCGATAATCCGACATTCTAATCTTACACCCTCGCTTTTAGATATCGGTGTGTCCATACAAATGGAAAAATTGATAATACTGGCTGGAACTTTGAATCGGTAGGGTACAATGTATCTGCGTCACTCGATATAAAACTTTCCTTCTTTTTATAAACATATTCTTATAAATATTCATTTCTTTGTTCCTTTTTCTTCATTTCGTTTGATAACTATGTCGTCGTGTTTAGGATTTTAACTATTACTAGGTACATCCTGTCGCGTTGGAAAAAGCACAATGTTTCAGGCGTTGATTGCCGCTCATCGATTTTTCTTATGGAGTTTTTGCCATATAGAGTCAAGGTACGTCCTGAATTAATGTTGAAAGCGGCTTTCTCCTTGGTGCTCCATGAGATACGTACGTATACATCATGCTGTGTCTTTGGTCATCCGTATATGGTACCCGAACTGGAATGATGCAGCACGAATACCTAATTTCGAGGGAATAACAATCTTTTTTGCTGGACCTTTAACACCTTGCACGATATACACGGTGTAATATCGCCAGTCATCTTCGTCGTTGAGATTGCGGGTATCAGAAGAGCAGAACATGGCTTTCTAAATAAGAGAGTGTCGCATAGCTGGATCACGCTAATTGTCTTGTTAAATAGAACGGTCGCATTTTTTTCAAGTCATCTTGACAAATATTCTGTAGTATTTATCGATAATTTGTGTAGCGATTGCACCGATGATTCTCTTAATTATACACGCGTTAAAATTAGTATGAATCACAATTTGGATTCATACAGTGGGAGCAAACTGAATTAACCTCTCGAGATCATTGACAAGGCTCCCCACCGTTTACTTTGCGCGCTACTCTGACCTATATTTTCATAGAATTTTATTCTGTGAATCCATTGATCTTTATAAAGTGAAAAATATATGAAAAATAATTATTATAAAAGGTTACGATTTCATCTAATAATAAACTTTTTATCAGTTCTACGTATCAGTTACAATAAGAATCAGTTCAGAGCATTGACATAGCATAGAATATTGCTATTAACGATAAATTGATTTTCAAATATTTAAATAGAAATTATTACCAGCTTTTCGTGTAGGAATTAAAAAATTAATGAACTGATATTTGAATTTTCAATATTTCGATTCGCTTTCCTCCTTTGTCATTCAAAAGATGGCGGCTTATTAGCGGAATTGTTGCAGTTATGTTTACGTGATACTGTTCCCAAAGACAGAAGGTCTGCTAAGTAATCTACCCATTAACAGATTACCGCTGACACATCTCTGAAATGTATATACCCATAATGTGTGGGTGTGCAAGATGCGTGGAGTATTTAGTGTGTGATTCTGCGCGAGAGTTAGGGGGAATCTGGTAATGGGTGGGGTTTGAACGATGAATCCCTTCTCTTCTCATATCTGATTCGAGCTGATTCGAGTCGGTTTCGTGTAGTCCAACAGTATCCTTGCGTTCGACGCGTGATACGCGTTCACCGATGTTCATGTAATGGCAGCACTAAATTGGCGGTTAGGTAAATATCGGTCGCAAAACGTAGACGTTTCGAGCACCCGACCGAAACCCAGCCGCAACATCTAAATATATTTTTCTTTCGATTTGACGAACGACGAAAATAGCGCGTCTCGAACAGTGTCTCAAGGAAAGTGAAGTTTATATACGCCCTTGCGTATCATCTGTCAAGATAACGAGCGAGACAGACCTATTGCGAAAGGCAGGAAAGGAGGTGTGAATATCTTATCAACGTTATCGACACTGCACCCAATGCATACTGACCACAGTTATAGAAATGCATTCTTCAATCGCGCGGACACGATGTGAATGATCGTGGCCGATACTCGTGAGTCATATTAAAATTTTGGCAAACAGACAGAGAATTCGCCCTTCGCCAAATACATATCTGAATCGTTTGGCTGAACGTCTGCGTGGAGGTTAGCAGACAATATTCTATTAATATACATGCACGTAATACTATATAATTGTTTATAATGGAAGTACTGTTTCAAGGTGGTCGTACTGTAAACATATCCGTAAACGGAATCAAAGATTAAACTTGTCGTTAATGTAAGATGTAATCTACTGGGCTATTGTTGCAAAGTATTTTTGCAAAACATTTTTACACGTTTATATATTCTCTGCATTTACATACATGTTTATTCGTAAGTAGACTTGTAAATGTTATATGTTTATATGGTTATGCAGTCTAGTGACCCTAATTAACGAATAATTTGACTTTTAACCATTAAATAGCTTGTATACTTCTTTCAGGCATTTGTATTTAAGTAGATAAATTATTTATAATGGAAAAGAGAAGTATTACTGGGAAAGACATCCTAAGAATGGATGGTCTTTTGCCACCAACAAGGCGATTGCCTGTCTGTGATGCAGTAACTTTGTCGGATAAAAAGAAAGAAAAAAAGTGGTCTATTGGTGGAATTTTAAAGCGAATATCTTCGATACGTGATTATGACAGTTCCTCGAATGATGAAGAAATGGTATATTGCACGAGGCAACAGAGACCTCTTTCAGTGTTTAATAGAAAATCACACAATGTTACACTTCATCCAGTTAAAAGAAGTACCGATGAACATTTAAATAAAAATAATTCAAGCAATGGTACTATTGATAACTTGGTGGACACATCAAGTCTACAAAGAGATTCCACGCATGTTCGTGGTAGTGATGGATCATTGGATAGATTAAGTAAAAAGTTACGTAAAAGTGTACTCAAAGCTCGAGTAGAAGCAAAGAGAGATCGTATTTGTGCAGATAGTAGTTCAGATGAAGATTCTCGAGTGTCTTGTAATTCATTGACTAGATTTCAGAGCGAATCTACGACCCAAAATATGCAGAAAAGTAGTTCCTGCAATAGAAAAAGTCGTGCTGCACGTACAGAACGTTACATAAAACGTTTATCAAAAGATGAGGGTAACAGATTTTCAGAACACATGAACAATGTAACCAACAAACGCAATAGCCTTGATTTTATGGATGCACATCAGTCACTCAATATCAGTGAAAGTGATTTATTTCAACCTGAAGTACAACCTCGTTCTATTACACAGCCTAATAGTTACACATTCCCAGTACAAAGATCTGTGGAAAACATACGACAGGCAGCATCATGTAGCTATCAAACCAAATCGTCTACTGAACTCACACGACATTCTTCAAATCGATACATTACAGATTTAAATCAGAATAACACGTACACAAAACCAAATGTTTTGTACAAAGATAAGCATTACATGAACCAGGAAGAACACAACTACTTTTCAACTTCTCCACCACTACACAGTGATTATACAAAATCCTATGATTATGTAAGGAATGATCAGTCAGTATATCGAAGTTCTTCTCCACCAGAACCCCCACCAAGGAATCCACGTAGTAAAGTGTTTGCTTATAGTTGCAATTCCTTTCCATCTAGTGGGAAATACAGAGTACCAAGACACACAGAATCTCCACATCCAAGAGTGGACAATGTGCACGAAGCTTCATGGGATCGCTTGAAAGGCATAAGATCATACGACTCGAATAACGAAATCAGCTGGTGCAGTTCAACTAGACAATGCCCACGACGTCCACTGTCTTTAACAGTGATACCAACGCAATCCTGTAATTCGTCAGAATGTACAAACAATAGGCACAATTCAACTGGCAGGCATATGGACGAATGCAAGTATCACGAGACAGAAGCGATGAAGTGTCAACGGCGAAACAACCGAAACGACCAGCTCAACTCAAAATTCAACGATCGTAACATTCAAAAACGCGAGCAAAAGTTTTCTCCAATTTCACCGCCAAACATGTACAGTAATTCAGCATTTATCTACAACAAGAGTTCAAACTCTCCTTCGGCAAAGTCCCCTTCCGAGAGAACTGTCCGAGAACGTTCGTACAGTTCATCAAATGATAAATTCGTCTCGAATCCAAGTGCAGAAAAGAAGGACGAGAAACCAGTAGTAGCGAGCGACAAAGATGTTCTGGAAAGGAGAAGAAGTTCAAAGAACCTGGAAGAGGCGCTGTCCGAATTGGAAGCGATATACAACAGTTTGTGCCTTGGAGACGAGGATCTTCTCGATCGGGCGGAGCGACGTAGTATGGAGGAGTTTAGTCTCCGTCGCGGTAAGGCCGATAGCAGCCTCGCGTTAGACTTGGTGGACTCGCCGGACAGATCGAAAGACGATATGGCCTATAGACGAATGCACCCTAAGGAAAGACCGGCATCCTTGTCAGAAGTGATCAGTCAATCCGCACTCTCTAATATCAGCTATCTGATGGCCTCGCCTATCTTGTCACGTAAAGACGCGACTGATGATTATCCGTACGCCTCAAATTACCCAGTTCGCAAAGACGAGCCGGACGTAACACGCGACGATGTCGTTTACCGAAGTATTCATCACGCGAATAATACATTGAAGGTGGCCGATCCGCAACCACCGTTCGGGATACCTCTGGGACCCGTAACTGCGGCCACAGAGAGCGACTACCTGCACACCACGCCAACCAAGCCGGATCATCCTCGTTCGTCGTACATACCACAGTGCGAGCCCGACATTGTTACAGACGATTTGGCATATAGAACCTTGCGGAAGGATGCCAGCATGGCAAGGAATGCCGCCGAAAGTAAAAGCGGCGTTGCGAAAGACCAGGAAACCACTTTCGGCATGAAGAAAAAACGGGCGGTTAGATCTCTGTCCGCTAATCTGTATGGTCTGATAAACCAGGATCGCATACATCTTCGACGGGAACCCAGTCTTCAGGAGATCAAGGTCGGGGTCAGTGACGCGTCGATGAATGATGTTAAATTACTACCTGTTAGATCCGATTGTTTTAGGCGTGTGGTTAGCGACGGTGAGCTTTCCGATTACGACACCCGGTGGCGCGAGGATGGTTTGTTGAAAAACAGGAGAACCGACATAAATGGCAATCATACTGTCTCCAACATAAGCCGAAGGAAGCTACGCGTTTACGTCTCGCCATCGACCAGAATACAGACCTCCGGAGAGAACAGCGAGGACGAGGCGGTAGCTCAGAACTCGGCGTCGAATGGCATACTGTCGCAGGCTTTGAGCACTGACTTTTGGCAGGATCGTTTAAAATCAAATGAGCCGGCTGATCGAGATACGGAATCTGATTTCACCGCTTATAGCAATTTGTGCCAAGACTTAGTTAATTTGATACAGGGGGAAGAGAATGGGGATTTAAGAGAGACTACAGAAGCGAATGACGCTGAATCGGAGCAACCGACGAAAGTGGACAGTCCAGTGGACATCAATGAAACTGACGACAGCCCGATATTGCATATTAGGACGTTAGGTAGTCAGTATACTGAACACACTGTAGAAGATTGTAAGGAGATCGAAGGAAATGGAGACGCGGAAAGACTGGCGGAATCCATCGGTAATCATGGGAACGATGATCCCGAGAAGACTGACGATAATGCCTTTGACTTCTATCTGCGTGTCGCGGACGAGAATGTGAAACTAATTGCGGAGGCGTTCAGCAGCGTGGCGGATCGCTTACGCGATAGCCGTTTAAGCCAAAAGAATTCGCTGACGTCGCGGCGTTCTGAAATAGAAACCGATAGTACGGCGCCCAATACGAGCACGCGTAGCTCCATCACCTACAGCCCGGACGATGTGAACGACGACCTGTCTTCTTCGTCGAAGTCTACCGATACGCAACACATAGTTCCTAAAGAAAATACGCCGATAAACATAGACTGGGACCATGAGGAGGTTGAGTCAGAGGAGGCGAAAAATAACTCGAATATCGATCTGGAATTGGATCTGTCCAAAGCTGTTCATGATCTACAGTTAGCTGCAGCGAGTTTGTGCGAGCATGAAAAAGAGATCGAGCAGTTAGAGGCTTTATGGAAGAAGGACACCAGCGATACTCCTTCCGAAGCCTCGATCGCGGTCGCAGGGGAAACACCGTTGTCAACATCGGAAAAACTTTGTACGGTGGAGAATGATGGCGGGGAATTAGAATGCGATCAAGAGGAAACTGTAGTACCGACTGATGTTAAGTCGCAGACCGATGAACATGACCCAGATGATGAAGGTGAGAGCACAGAATGCGAAAATATTTGTGGACTGCACAACAACAAGATCGTTCGCTCGACTGGAATGCGTATTTCGTATGTCACTAACCTCATAACCGTTACGATAACCACGTATTCTATGGTTTTGCTGGCTTGTTTCCTCGCACTGCTTTTAGCGACCTTAGCAGCAGCATCATGACCGGCTCATTAACGGCGGTGTCTTAACGCATTGTGTGATTAGAAGGTTTGATACAGAGAGGCGTCCACTATTTTGAGGCTATTATTATTTTCAATCATGTTACTAATGTCGTAGGTCTCCCGGCACTTGATCATTCATGATGCGAACCGCTCTAGATGAGTTCTGAGTTCACACATAACTAACCAATGTACACGGCGTTGTCGACCGAAATGCGGCGGAACAATTGAATTTGTTTAAAGTCGAGTTTCTATGGACTGTTTCAGACGGAATGGTGTGTTCTTGTTGTTCTTGTTAATGTTGTTGGTTTTAATAAAGTTTAAATGTTAACTAGCTATACGAATTTTTTCTTCTGATTTAGATGCTTGACCACCTTTTGCCACTTGTCTCTCAAATGTTCTTTTTGTTGATTTTGTGTGAGAAAGAGAAAGAGAGATTTGATTTGTTATAAAAATATTGTTTTCATATTCGCTGGAATATGTTGTATTATTATCATGAACATTTCAGAAGTGTCTAAGGTTTTCTCAGGTTTAATTTTGATTTTGTAAAAAATATGAAATTAATAGTTTAGTTAAATATTTATATTTTTTAACGCGATGATCGATTTTGTGTTAAAATATACTTGTAGTATAGCAGAAGTGACAGTATTCTTGATAAGAACGTTCAAACATAAATATTTATACTTCTGTCTTGTTAACGATTGTGTTATCTGTAGTAATTAGAAAATTGTGTAAATCAATTGATTTATATCTGATTCTACTTATTCGATCATAACTAATCGACAAATTGGTGTTGTTTAAACAAACAGAGTTATTCTAGGTCACGATGAAAATATTATGATCGTGCGCGTCTCTGAACTTACTGTTGATATTTACAAGAATAGTCATCGCCGATAAAATCGTTCTCTTGAACGATGCAAGGATGGTAACACGTTGAATCGTTCTTTTTATAGGACTGCAAATATCAAAGTTTAAAGTATGTGATTTCTCTTATTAGAGTAATCGCAAAAGCAACATAAAATCTTCGTTGAAATTGCAAGATTATTTTAATAAAACAATCTTTAATTAATATGTGACGCATTTAAACGAAACATTGATCGCCCGTAGCATACAATAAAGGGTTAGAAAGGTTTGCTAAACGTCGAGTAGTTATCGATTGCGGACCACGATGACGTCATCACGGATCACGCCACATCCCCGCCCATTGAAACTCGGTCTCTGATTGGTTCACGTGCAGGCCGGCTATCTATATTGAGAAGCATGACCGTCGCGGTTTTGCAGGTCAAATCCTCAGGTCCTTACATTCGCATGCAAATTGATTTGCATCAAATTCCCACGTTGTTCACGCACGATTAAACAATTTATAATAACTTTCGTATCGTTTCGCGTCGTGTTAACCGGTAATGCAAGAATCTCACGGATCCAATGTTGAACTGTGTCCTGTCAACTGCATCGAAAAGTGGCGGGAGATTTCAAAGTGAAATTCGTGTTCAAGTTAAAGCAACGTTTCCCATGGACGCATAAAAGCTAAAATCAATTCTCTCGGTAAGATATACCCCGTGATCCTCCAAGGAGTTGTGCAACAGCATTTCGTCCAATTCCCGTCTCAGATTTCATCGTAATTCCATCATCGATTCGGTCATTTCCAAGCTCACACGGACAGCCAAGATGGCCGCTACTGAATCGAGCATGTATAGAGTGGTCGGGGTTCTGCGCTGGCGTTAGTGCGTGTGGTAGTACGACATGTTCAGTTTCTCTGAAATATACGCAGCACCCGCGACAGTCTCACTTGTGATAGGTTAAGAGTTTGACATGTGTACGAAAAACAGTGGTACGCGCAAAGAGGAAACGCTATCATTCGCGGTTTATTCGCGCGAATACTGAGCCGATCTCTCGTGTGCGTGTTTTTTTAGATCGTACCGCCGAAAGTGTAGAACCAGTGGAATCCATCCAGTTCATAGTTACAGAAGCACGTGGTGTTTGATCCTCTTTTATCTTATCGCACACACCCGTGTAAGTCACCGGCGGTAGTTTCGTCCGGCGGTAGTTTCGTTGGTTAAGGAAGATCTGGAGAGGTTCGATCTACGCGATCGATAAACCGTTGGCTCAAGTGTAAGAACAACGCAAACACGTTCGATAAAGCGGTGCATGTTTGAAATGATTATCCGGTTTCATAATCTCGCGAAGTCTGTCAGGGGCGGCTGGGAGGGAGGGAGGAACGTTGGTAAAATTGATCTCGTACTCGACGTCTAATACACTGATAAAAATGTTGCTGTAATCGGCAACGCTTGAACAGCTGGCCTATGATCACATGTACCATCGAATTTACCTACGGCGGCCGTTGGGCAATATATCGGCTCCGGGAATCGGGATTCGCTCGGCGTAACGAAGGTCAAAGATCAAAGATCGTTAGGAAATGTAAAAAGCCACATAATTGGCCATGTTATCCCACGATACGAATTCAGTCGTTCGTCGACCGCTGCGGGGCACGTCACGCCGTGATCGGTCGTCCCTCGTGTTCTTTCCTCGTCCCTCGTTCTTTTATGTGCACACACGCACCGGCAGATAGTACCACATATCCACATACGCTCACACCATTCTTGACCCTTGGATCGCGTATAGTGATAATTTCCTCTCCTGTCCGCGGTGGGAAAAACTGACTGTTAGTCGACGGGAATCGTCGAACTCGTTAAGAGGAACAGACGAAAACGTCTGGGACACACGTTGCTTGTGTATCAAAGGTAAGCAAACGACCTTAGTATGTTTTCTCGTGTGTACACATTTACCACCAATAACCATTCGAGAATTCGGGAAATGTATATTTGCCACAAGCTACTGTAAACATTTCGTCGACTGCTAAATATATTTTCGTATAGCTTTGCTAGACAGACCGATTGTTATATTCCGTCAGTTTTCAAACAAGTGGCGTAACGTACTCGCTAGTAATTCGCTAGCAGCAATTTTCAAGCAGTTCCGATTCGAACTTCCGGGATGGTACCGCTCGCAAGGTGCAGCTGTTGGTAGTTGCTAGTGATCATTCACATTTATTTCGACTTGGTAATCCTGCTAGTATTCTCTGGTCGTGGAGTTTGATCGATCTCTTGGTTACTGAATTCACGGTCGAATAGTACGCTAGTGATCACCGAACGTTACCGATGAATGAACGGATTATGCGAGCAGCTATATTGTGTATGCGTGTACGCGCCTCGAGTAGTTTCGAATAGTTTAAATGTTTCTTTGCCAAGCACAACCGATCGGTGTTCACTGCGGCGCCGACATACGTGCAACGCGTGCTACACGTGATTCGGACTAAGAATAAAATCTTGTTGTCTCGTTTCAAGTACACCCTTAACACTAGACTCACGGATATGTATTATAGAGTTTGTTTTATAATTCTTTGAAATATTGATATTCGTTGATTTAGATTTTAGAGATTCAAAGTTTAAAAGTAGACAATTAGAATATATATTTGCGTAATTGCATCAATGAAAATCGATCGAAAGTTTTAGTAAATAATGTTTATAAAATTCAATATGGGTCAAATTGACTAGTTCCGTAAATCTAGTGTTTATGTCCAGATGTAGTTTCATAGGTGGCGTTTACAGGTAAAAGGGGAATTTTTATCGTTGACTGAACCATGCGTGTCTCGACTCTTTTTGGCGGATTCAGTTTGTTTCAATCGAGTGCTTAACGCGTTCACTACCAACGCTTATTTCGGTGACTGTATTCCCGATTATAATATTTTCTTCAATCCAATAAATCTAAACAAAATATTAGAAAAATGAAACTGAAACAAGTCAGTGAGTTTCTAAATATAATTCATAGTTTATAATTTCTAATAACAATATCCGTAGGATTAATTTCATTTTCATTATGTAAAGAAAAATGAAACTGAAACGAGTCATTGAGTCTCTAAATATAATTCGTAGTTTATAATTTCTAATAACAATATCTATAAGATTAATTTCATTTTCATTATGTAAAATACAGGATTACGGCCGTCATAAATATGTAACTCTGGTAGCGAACGTGTTAATGGAAGGTTTTAAATTGTAGTTAATAGACTTTTTACGATGGAAATAGGTAAGAAAGGTTAAGTTGTGCTTGTACGATGTAAATTGATCGTTTCCAATGCGGTATCCGTTGAAAGCCAAGTTTGAAATTTTAATAAGGTCTTAATTGATGTTTATTGAGCGAGGGATTTTAGGTGGGACGTTTATAGTTTCGGGGTTATATTTTGATCCTTCAAATGGGAATGCCCCTTAAACGTCACATTTATAATTAACTATTTCCTTCCGCAGAGTTTATTATTATACATAAGAGTCAAGTGCGTGGGCATGCTTTGTTATATAAAGGTATAGACGTATTCATAGTATTTTTGATAGATGGCCTCAGTCTCAATGCGTTTTTAATCAGTTAACTATTTTTGACGAGTATACACATAATCTTAAAACGCAAAATGGCACTAATTTCTTCAACAATAAATTATGTATTTTCTCAGATGAACGTGTAATTCCTTTTTATTTTGTATTAGTTTATCGTTAGAATATAAGTGCATTTGCCCTGACTTTCACTAGTATACACTTTGTTTGATTTAATTGCTCGCATAATGAAGGATTTTTCAAATTAAATTCCACAATTAACAGATTAACGCGTTGAATACCGCACGATTTTAAGGTGCGGAATATGGCAAAATAAAAAAGATACAATATTAAATTATTTCATTGAATTGCGTTGTTATTATCGCAGGATTCTTTTGCTGAATATCACAGCATCAGGTAGCGTTATTTACAATATAGGAATGTTTTCAAATAATTATCGTTCCATCGAGGATATTGCAGCACTTGAATTTAGGCGGGGATCACCGGTGATCCCCATGGCATTCAACGTGTTAAACGATTCGTATTTTAAGTAAATATGTTGCTGGATAAGGCTAAGATTAATAAGAACGTAACGTTTAATGCGATAACGTGTGTTGTTTTTCGGTGCTGGAGTCACGGCTGCAGTTATAAATAGAAAATTAATGATTGACTCTGTTGATAGTCTGTTCTTCAAATTAAAACTTGGTCCGAATAATATTCGACACTAAATTGAATCGTGTCGGTGACTACAATTGTAATGTAATCCAAGTATAGCAGTACAGATGAAAACAAAAGGTATGGTAGTACACGTTGGTTCCATGCTGGAACGTCTAATCTATTAGTAATGAGAATGTAGCACGAAATCTTACTCCGTGACAGATCGATGCTCCCTTTCGGTGGCCCGTGCTCTTTTACCAATAACTTTGCACGAACGTGCAATCTAGTTACTCGCTTTGACGGCCGTTGTCATGAACGCATGATCTCGACCATCGTTTATAGGTCGTTATCGGGCAAACGTGACTTCACCATGCCTCTTGTAGATGTGCGTATATATATATATATATATATATATATATATTATATTTATATATATATGTATATATATATTATATTTATTACCATATATACAACAACATTTTTGGAAACGTTTTACTTCTTATTTCTCGTAAAAATATTTTTTAATAATATTTACCTCTCTAATTCTATGTAATCAATTTTTCAACGTTAACTTTCACTGTCCACCATTCAAGTCGATTTACCCCAAAAGTAAATTTATATTCTTCATAAAGTTTCATACTTTTTGTCAACATAAAAATAAATTTAGCATTTTGCAATTACAATTTCCCTTTAACTGGAAATTTAAACACGAATTTGAAATTTCATTATTAACCCTTTGCACTCGGAAGTCTTACTAGAAACATTCGACACTTCCCGGTGAGACATAGACGACATTATTTGAAACGAACTAATGAGGAAACATAGTAAATTAAGAAACAAAGCTATCTTATATAAACATCTCACATATCGATGCATTATACAAAACTTAATTACAAAGTGTTATATATAACATTAACTTATATCGAATCTAATGGTGACTGAGAGTCACCTCTCGAGTGCAGGGGTTAATATGTAATCCCTATAAACATTGTAACAATACATTATTTCCAGTTTCTGCAGACATTCATTATAGTATTTAATTGAAACTGTTTATTTTCAAGATCACTTCAATAATTCAATGCTTTGAAGATTCCAATAATTGCGATACAAAACGTAATCGAAACCAGTCATTTTCAGTGATACCGTAGTTCCAGTGTTAAATGAACTGACTCTCATTGTTAAATGAACTCTCGAGCGCAAAGGGTTAATAAAACATCTCGCCTCGATTACCTGAGCAGCGTACAAGGCAGAAGCCAATAAATTTTGAAAATGCCCGCAATGTATAAAATGGTTCCACATCTCGATTCGACTGCGTAGCCACGTTCGGTGTTTCCAGGTCAAGTGGACGAAGCATAAAAAGATTCTCCACCGAGCCGTCCGGAATCACGGAATAACTTCGCTGTTGAAATTCCGACGATTCCGCTTATCGCGTTCGTTTGTTCGTTCCTCCTCTTGTATGCTGTCACTGTCGCTGCTCCTCGTCTATGTCACGGGAACTTCATGTATCTCTGTTTACGTGACAAGTTACTCGTCGTGGAACACGGCGACGTGCATGAACTTAGGCAATGTTCCGTACCGATTGGTTCCGATAGAAGAGTGCACTGTAAACAAAACGTGTGTTGTCGGGACGCCTGGTGAACGCGCGCGCGAGCACGCCGGCTGCTACGAGTGGAGTTTGGTATACACGCACGCGGATTCAGTGTTCACCTTGGCGCAACTTAAGCGTAACACGAGTTATGCAGGGTCCGATGTTCAATGCCGTGAAACTCGTTATCTCCGGGCTTCGCGGAGCTGTTCACGTGCTACGGTCATAGCTTTTTGCACACCCACACTATTGCTTGCGAATAACCGGTCCACGTGCCATAGAATCAAGTTGCCTAATATGAGAGCCGTTTCTTGAGACAATCGTAATTGTCCACGAAGGATACCTCAAACAGAATTCGATACACTCTTTTTTATCGCTAGATGTACGGACATTTATTGTATAGTTTATTTTATTGTTCTCAGAAAGATTGATGTTTCGTCCGTTTAGAACTAGGGAATCAAATGCTTAAAAGTGTATTATTAGGAACCGTAATCACGTAATTGAATCAATCAAAATCGACCTTAACATTTACCAAATAATGTTTAGAAAATTCAATATGAGTCAAATTGACTTGTTCCGTAAATCTAGTACATATTGGCCATATTTCTTGAAACAATCATAATTGTCGGAAAAGAATACCTCAAACAAAATTCGATACTCTTTTTTATATATTAACCATATTTCTTGAGATAATCGTAATTGTCTACGAAGCATACCTCAAACAAAATTCCATACACTATATTTTATATATTGGCCATATGAAATCTTTTCAAAATGGATTTTACGAGCCCAGCGATAGCGTTTTGTACACATTGCTCACCGTGCATGTTTGAAGACCTACACGACACAAGCATTCTGCGTCATAATTTTTCGCACAATTACTTTCCATTGTTCAGGACAATTTTTTCTTAACCCAGGACACTTAAATGACGAAACAATGGATTCTTGTAACATGATTATAAACATTACGGATTACGATACTCGGGGGTTCCGTAAGAAGGATAAACTGCTGTCTCGTATTAGGCAACTCAACCCCATTTCGGCACGAAGGCAATATGGCGACCTGTATAGGTATGCAATTATCGGTTTCGTAGGTCGCATCGGAAACTTTCAGTGACCGGCTCGCTCACTGCTATAC